AGCCATATATGCCTACATTGGGGTGGGTTTGGGGGTCAATGTATAATATATGATAATACATGGAGTGCCTGGGTACAGTGGAACGTCGGCCCTGCAAAAACCACGTTTTGCTCTACAAGGGGGTCTGCTAGAGGCTTCCTTTTTTGGAGGGACTGAGGGACTTGCCCGACGAAGAGTTCTTACCCAACTAACTAATCATGTTAACCTCTTTTCAATGGTCTTTCAGCAGGGCAGCCGGGCTGGGGTGGACAACAGCTGGGAGCAACACGAAGCGGTTTACCAGCTGGGAGCTTCGTCACCACAACTGTTCACCAGGGTTTTGGAGGTGTTTCTACACAGATGGCGAAGAATTGGTCCACTGAGAGGTCGGTGCCCTGAGAAAAAACCATCTCCCCAGCGCGGTCGGGCTTATCTCCCTGACCCGTGTTTTAACATGTTCGAGAAAAAAAAGAAATGATTATTGATTCTATAGAACGAACGAAACAATTCCCTTCTAAAGCAAGTGAGTCACCTGGTTCCCTTCGAACCGTCCCACCTACCCTTGCGAAAAACCCTTGCGATGCCTAGCAGCTGCTGCTTCCGGGAGTTCATCCAGCCCAGCAGCGCGCCCAAGCCTCGGTCCGACCGAACGAGGCTCAAGCAAGCGAACGACGGGAGGACCCATTGCGACCGTCGGAGGGCAGCGGCCAGGCGTCAGCTGGATGAAAAAGATGAAAAGCATTGAAAAGCACTGGATGGGTCGTGTTGGAAGGGAATTATAACAAGAAAACCAGGCCAGGATAGATCCCTTCCAACATCCTCCAGATGTCTCGGAGATACATGCTTAGGATTTGCAGCCCTAACAAGGAGATCTGTGCCACCAGGCATTAGGAAAAGCATGGTATTTGCAGCTTGGGTGGTCCAGGTGGTGCAGGAGCTGTTTCCATCAACCATGACTCCAATTTCGACTGGCCAGGTCGGGTTGGGGTCAGGGTGGGGTGGGAGCTGACGTTCATCTACGGTCGGGTGGATGCAGGACGCTGCAATACTCGGTTGATTGCAGCGTTGGTGTTGCACATTTTGGTGATGTTCATGGTTCCTAGTGATGTGTTGAAACAAAAATAGCTCTATATATAGCTAATCACTGATGCACATTCGAAGCACATCAGTTCCACTGATACAAATCTCCTTGGTGTTGGAACATGCACCAAATTTCAAGAGATAGTGCAAATACGTACGTGTAATCAAAATCATTCCTGCAGCCAGGTGTGTTGTTAAAAAATCGTCATGAAGTGATTGACAATGCAATAACAAACTTCAGTCAGATCCGAAATCCCGCCAAGTAATTAGGCTTGCAGTCAAGCCCCGGGCACTTCATGCGCACAAAGAAGTCTTGGTCTTGAATATATAAGCTAAGAACCCCCCCCCATGCATTGGAATTTGCTTTGACCTCTAAAGACGGCAAGGGAAGACCTTACACTTCCCCAATCGTCGCAACCAACCACCCAAACACCCTGAAGGTACAGGTCACATCGAATCTAGCCCAATGAGCATGAGTGTTCAATGATTCAAGTGCAGCACATATCACATCTCCAAACACATGCCCAAACACCGTGCCACAGTCGAGGGACCAAAGCCGCCCGCCACCAATGCTCCAATGCTGTTCTCCTCTGCCTCCAACTGCACTTGCGGCATGTCACGTGCTGCAGCAAACACCTCTGGAGCCGTACGTCTCTCAGGCGTAGTGCCCGGGGTCACATAAGCCACAGCGGGCAGGGCCAGCACGGCAAGGAGAATGGCACGCATGGCTCAAATGGAGGTGTTGGAGCGTGTGGCGGGGAGCTGTTTGAGCCAACTGAGGAGTCCAACAGGACATGGACATGGCCCAAGCACGGTGATGGGAGGTTTTGATCCGAACTCACGACTCACTCTCTTCCCATACGGTTCGTCTGGGTGTGTGGTATCGCAACCATGGTCTCCCACTATGTGCCACAGTGTCTTGCCACAGTTCCAGAACGAGTGGTGAAACAACAAACACCCAGCCCATTCCGACTCCTCCAGGCCGATGGCCAAGGTGTAGCTTTTCAGGGCCTCCTCATACTCTTCATTCACATAGTGAACCTCGAAGATCGACCCGCGCTTCGACCCGCACCTCGCGCGCCTTCGATCGACCCGGACCGACCCGCGAGATGGGAGGTTCAGCCGATTCAGCCGATTCGGTGGTTTCACAGGGTTTCACTGAGAGCAGAGGTTCCCCCAAAAGCGTGAGATTGTGGTGGGAGGCCACTTTGGGTGCCAGAAGTGAAACGGGCTGGGGAGTGCGGAGTGCGGTCGGTGCACGGACACTTCGACCTCAATATGGCCGGTTTCGGCTCAAGGGCCTTCACAGAGTCGAGAGGAGCCTCCCATCCGGTATCACCGGCAGAGACTGCGACCGGAAAAGGTCGCAGCCTTCTTCGGATCTATTACTGTATACCCTAAGGTATATATATATATATACATGTCCCCCATGTATGACCCTATACCATTTCGGATCTATACCCTATACATCCCTATACCATACATACTACCATACCAGGAATAAGTATATAATATATATATATAATATAATATGTATTTATTATATAATATATAATATAATATGTATTTATTATATAATATATATATATACGTACATAATACCCTAGAAGTCGAACCACCATTGTTTTAATAGCCTTTACTGAACCACCATTGTTGTACCTAGGGTTTGAGACTATATACAACCCCAGAATCAACTATTTAAAACATGGTCGACCTTGACTTCCACAAGTCATAAGGAGACATATCATCTCTCTACGAACCACCAGATGCCCACCAACCCACCTGGCTCCACGTCTTCTCCGAGCGGCATTGGCATTGCTGAAGAAGCTTCCCGGATCCATCACGCCACCGACCGACCGGTGCCGACCGCGGTGCCGCGGTGCGGCGGCTGAGAGGCCGAAACGCTGCTGGAAAAGATCGGGTTCAGCGGGTTTTGGGAGGGATCTTGGTATGATTTTTGCGATTTGGTGGGTTTGGGGGGAAGAACGGCTCGTGAAGCAGCGAACCGGGCCGGCACGGGAGAAGGTGTTCTTGGGATTCACGGAACGCCATTAAGTTCACTGAACAGGGACGAGGTTCAGACTGCCTTTTATGAACTGCACCCTTCACCGCGAGTCTTTGGAGAGGTCCTTGTCCCCTCCACCTCGCAATCACGGAACTCGAACCGAAGGCTGAAATGGTTTCCGCCCTATCTCCCGTGTGGAGAGTTACTTGGCCTATTCTCCCCAGCTCAAAGAGCTGCATAAATCAAAACGAAATGTTGGAGCCAGCGTGCCAGCAGGTCGGTCTTTGACAGTCCATCCACCCCACTGTATGTTGTTCCAGTGGCCGTCTTCGGTGAAGGTGAACGTTTTGCAGCGTCGCCCGCAAACTGATTTGACTTTGGACTAATTATAGCTATTTGCCCTGTGGTCGAAGGCTGCTGGTATATGTGCTTGGCGCATCCAAATTATATAGCACCGTTGGTATAGAATTACGAATTGGTCCTGCTTCTGCGAACGCCACGCCGTGAAAACTGAAAAATACATGATGCACGATGCGCGACTCAGTCCGCAGATCGATTCCTTTGGGACAAGTGATGGGGGTGTCTCTCTTCAGCTGAATGGCATGCTTGATTCCTGGCCCCAAGCCAGCAGCCTTTTGGGAACGCGTGCCCTCCGGGCTGGTCCAACGTGAAACGGCGCGGCCGGCTGCGTGGCCGGCTGCGTCTGGTGCGGCTTCACCGGGCACTGGCAGGTCTCCTGAAGTGCCAGGTATGCTCAGAACGTGAGACCCGAGGCCGGGCGTGCCATGGAGTCTGCAGCGGTGTACGCAGAGGGACCTCAGGCTAAACGTACAACAAGAACACTATAGGCCTTCCAAAAGCCAAGACCATTGATTTGTTGCCCGTCCAGTTATCCAGATTCTGCCGAATGGATTCGGAGATTCGGGGTCTGCCCCAACAAAGCTCGAATCGGTGTCTAAATGGTTTCGAGGCAACATGCCACCCCTGAAGCCTTTGTAGTTCAAATCAATGCCGATGAGCTACGAACGCCAAAACGCCATGGCTACCTGACCTCTTGGATGAGGAATGTACCTGGTCTGCTGGATGACTAAAATGCATCATAAGCATCACAGCACTGGATCAGCATCGGGCTCGTATGGCCAAAATGCCATCCAAGGTTGGTAGGGATCACATGGCTACTACAGCTGAAGGGTTGCTCTCAGCTGAAGCACAATGACCACTCACCTAAGAAGCGGTCACAAAGATACAAAGCAATTGAAACATCATTTACCCCTCACCCCTTGTGTGAGGGTCCTGGTTGCCGCCAAGCGGATGATGGTGTCTTTCTTTCCCAGGTGCCCTCCTCCACTCAAATGGCTGTCCGGAACATGGTACTGTGAACAGTAGCAATGGGATTGAAGAGTTTTGATCGAAATTGGTTGGAATCTTCACAGAGTCTGTCTCTAGGCACCATTTTGTCTTCCAGCAGGTTCCATGTGCATGCCTTCATATGCCTTCATTGAGGGGCTGTTGCTTGCCACAGGTCCTCATCTGCTTGGCTGCAGCAGACTGAGTTCCAGGCTCCATCGGACAAGTATATATGCCAAAGTATTGCCTACAGCCCACTCTACAACCCCTCCTCTCTCATGACCATGAAACCGGGCCAAGACACTGGCTCCTCCATGCACCTGCTGCAGAAGAACCTTGTCCCCATACAACACCTCCGCGGCCAATCAACTTTGGCCTGTGCAAAGTGAACGTGGATTGAAAAGCGTGAGCAACGTCGAACGCGTTGCGAGAGAGATTGGAACTGTGAAAAAAAGAACTCTCCAAGAGTCTATGTCTATAGACTTTTGGGCTCTCCGTGCGCTGGGAAGGACGTCCATCTGCGCAAGCGCATTTGTAGCGCTGCAGGAGGGTCCTCCTCTGGTGCCCCAGATCCGGGCTTTGCCGGACGTCAGGCTGCATTTACCAACTCCTCCTCCTCCTGTGGCCGGGTGACGGCAAGGGTGAGGAACCATTTCTATGGCCTCCGTGCCAATGATGGCACTTGATGCCTATTGCAAAACCTGCCTTGAGGCCAAGGAAGCGGCTCCTGCGGCTCCTGTTTTGCCTATCTGAGTGGCCTCTATATACTGGTGAGTCACCAACCACCCCAAATATGGTCTTTTCATGCCTGTTTCTTCTCCAAACAGGGCTCACTCACCTGGGCTGCAGTGCTCAAAAAACCCGTGGGTCTTGTGTCCTCGATCGATACCGGGATTCCGGGAACGCGCCTCATTGGCCATGAGGAAGTCCTGGAAATAGCTCCACGCCTCTGCCCTCATCCTGGCGATGTGGAAAAGGATCAAGGATGAGGCCCTGGTGTAGGCCCTATGATGCCAGGTGTGGCGGATCTATATCAGGTGAAACCACCAAAAAAAAGAAAAGCACCCAGAACTCCCCCCAAAACGAACAACGGGATCCCACCGACTTTCGAACCACAGGACGTCAAAAGAGAAGAAGGGACGAGAAGGGGGTTGCTGTAGAGTTCCGAAAGCTGAATGAGATGGCTATAAGCAAAGCTGTTCAGGACTCAGGAACATCGCTGTGGCTACACAACCCCGATGTGCCCCAAATCACGCTATGCAATCACATTCAAAGCAACCCTCCTGGCGCCCTTCGTGTCGATCAACTGCCAACTGCGCAGTCGAATAAATCACTGTATAGTGATTCCAGGTGATTCCAGGTGTGTTCACCTTCCAAAAGCCCCCCCAACCCGATGGGCGGTGCCGCGCTGATTCGGCCCACCTGCGACGGTACGGAAGGCTTGCGATGAGCAGGGAGCCCAAGGAACTCAGCAGCGACAGGTATGGCAGCACCTGTGCGAAATGAAGCCAGCCCGGCTAGCCCCCGCCCTCTTCCTGAGATCAACACAACACAAAACAAAACGTCCTGGAGTAGATAAAATATGAGAAAGCAAATCCCCAAAAAGAAGTGACCAGCTTCCAGTGGTTCTTGAAGTTTCCCTCCAGCATGACTCTTCCCTATGTAGCCTAGAAGTCCAATGAGTACATGTTTGACCCGCACCGGAACACCTCAAAATCCTAAAAACGTGTGTATATGGTGTTGGACTATATAATATATACCCATTAAAAGTACATATGATCATACATCTTATATATGTACAATATCTCCATTTGCAGCTTCTCGAGCACCTGTGGTGCGTCATCGGAGCTCCGCTTCTTGTGCGGCAAATCCGCGAAATGGCCACCCGAAATGGTTCGACGGTCGTCGCATTCTTGCAAGCCCTCGAAGCGTTCTTGGGGTTGAACAGTTATATTGAATTTGTCCAAACTACGTTTCATGTTGTCGAAAAAAAAAAGAATGTGTGTGTTTTATGTGTTTTTTCATGTGTTCATTTTGTTTTGCGAAAAATTTTATATCTAAACTGTGACATGTGAAAACCATACCAAAAACAGCTCGAGCACGTCCGTTTTCGCACGTCGACGTTCTGAACGATTGTTCGCCGGCCGTTGGTTCGCCTTCTGGCCGGTCACGTGACCGAGCAGCCAGAAAAGAAGCAGGAAGACTCTCCTGAGAAGCCAGTGGAGTGGAGAGGTTGTGATGGAAGAAAGGGACCAGGGAGAAAGAACACAAAAAATGTCCGGCCTCCATATGCTTGTTTCAAGCTCTGAGTATGGCATGTTATTTGTTATGGCATAAAAGGCATAGCGGCATAACTCTATGCATAACATTGTATCACTGATCCATGAGGCATGCCCACTCAACGCGAGCTCCCAGGCTTTGCATGACATGCTCATGACCATCACGATCTCCAGGCGACTGGAAGAAGAGAGGTCTATGGGGAGCAATTGCTGGACACTAGCGAAGCCATGTCAGGTGTGAAGCCTGAAGGCGCCACTCGAAGGACAGAAGGGCGCCACTCCCAAAGAAGCAAATCTGCTTGCTGAAGGCCATTGTTTCGGAGCCTTGAAAAAAGCGGTCACCCCTTTTCCCCTTTTCCCCTATTGTTTGGTTCCGCGCGCCTCAACTTCCGTGAGTTGCATTGTGGGGTATGATGAAATTACATGACCAGCACCCCTCCTTTGGACAGGGTCACCTGGCTCTCCCAGCCACCGAATGAGTGGAGAATTCTGCAGGCAAACCTCTTGGAACACGGACCCACGAACAAGAGTCAGGCCTCACATATGCACTTCAAGAACGAAGATCAATGCCTGTCAAGCATGGCTCAAACCTCCTACATCTCCTCAACCTCTTGGCCATCTCGCTTGGATCTTAGCTTCGAAAGGTTTACCCAAAACTACCAGGATCAACCAGGAGCTTGTCATCGCAGCGCATCGCTGCGCACCCTGCTCCGGGCTCCGGGCCCATCGGACCAAGCGTCAAAGCATCTCCAAAGATGCAGGTGTCCCGCATATAGAGCTCGTAGAGGCTAAAGAGGTCGGGATTCCTGAAGTGTGAAGAGGTCGGCATCGAATCTAAGCCGGATCTATGGCTTCCAGTGGCTTCCAGAGGAGATGGCGGTTTACATGGATTCGCATCTCAAAGACATCTTATATAGCTGTCAGTGCCATCTACTCTCAAACCACTGTAATAGCAAGGGCGCCCGCATGGTGAATACTTATGTCCACGTCATCCACAATGTGGCACCGTGTCACACCAACACATAAAAGCGCAAATCTACCTGCAATGAAGCACCGCCCCAAGCTATCCCACTATCTTATCAAGGATAAAAACCCTTGAAAGATCTATCTTCTCGATACCCTAAAGCTCCAGTCGTACCTTCGTTCCGAACCTGAGGAGGTATGACTAGAGTCCTACAAATAGGGAATTCTTGCTCAGTTTTCGATGGGAGGTGTTCATTCTACCACCCGGGCTGGTTGCACGCTTCCACCCCTTCTTAGAACAAGGGAGGTAAGACGGGCTCCTTACATGGTCTCTCTCAACCTGTCAACTCGACAGGACTCTAGAGACCAAACTTGAGTTGCAAGTGGATGGAGTATGATGGAAATGGCATGAACTGGCGAAATGTTGCGAAGTCGGTTCCCACTGTGTCGGGCGTCACTGGAAAAGAAGGAGGCTCAGCAAATGGCCGCAAGAAGTGCGTCAGCAGCAGGAGCAGCTTGTAGGAGAAGTAGATGGGTGAAACCTAATGGCACGAAACCCCGGCGAATGTCAGTGGTCGAACTGGAGATCCAGCTCCCCGAACTCGCTGGCAAACTTGCTGGTAACCGTTCCAAAAAGACTAAAACCGACCGAACGAAAGCCCAAGTCGAATAAAGCCAACCAAACATGCTCAGAGGTTTTATAGAATCCAGACATCTGGGGGGGTTGCAGCAATCAAAAGTGCTGCAGAAGAACCCCAGAAATCACCAGGTCTACCGTGGTGGCTTCCGATCCACGAACGGAAAACTCCTTCCGTCGTGTCCCGAAATCCCCGGCCTCACGGCCTGACCGCCCGGCTCCGACCCACCCAGACATCGTGCCGAGCTCGCTTTCGTGCCGACCTCCGACATCGTTCGACGACGACATCCGGGGGTTAAGGAAAGGTATAGCTCGCAGGAAGCTTGTATAGCTCGGCAGTGCCTAGACCCTTGGAGCTATACCGTAGGAGGCCCCCGTGGAGCGAGCACCTCCCTCCCGCTCCCTTCCTCCCTTCCTCTCCGCTGAGCGGATGGAGACCCCTCGCACTGGCTAGGTGATATATGCTACAGGCTGTAAGCTATAGGTACAGAGCGACATAAGGGGCAAACACCCTCGCACCAGCTATAGGTGATTATGCTATAAGGCCTTCTATATGGATGCACATGTATATATATATATATATGGGATATATGGGTGCTAATTACATGGTCGGGCCATCATGGGCCAACCAGCCCAGCCGAGCTACAAGGCTCGCGAGGATCAAGGCATTGGGCGTCCAAATCCACCAGAGCCCCGAAAGCCACAAGAGCGCGCAGCGCAGCGTCGGCCAGCAGAAGCTCGACCACCTGGCGAGCTGGCAGGTAGCTGGAGCAAGCTGGAGCGAGCTGTCGGCTGTGAAGCGCTGGAGCCTCCCCTTGATGAACAAGGACGAACTGAAGGAGGACCCTTCTGGACTATACCCAGGTGGGACTCTGAGAGCTGTGCTCGGAGGCTGCCCCGAATTCCCCAACGCTCATTCTACAAGGCATGGGCGGTGGACCTGGCGGTGGTGGACCTGCTTGGACAAACTTGGTTCTCTGCGCTCCTCGTAGTCCATCCCGCTGGTCACATCCCCACTCGACGGAAGAGGACCCGCCGGACCATGCGGCGGGTATAGGGGGTGGGATGGAACTCTAGAATGTACGTTAACCATAACTTGTTCTGCTCATACGGCACGTATACTATGTGTAAGTTATAAGCTTTGTTATGGTACAGTATGTCCTTTGGAGGTATTCTGGTCTACAGTATATACAAGCTCACTTCGCAAAAACTCGACTGGACATATAGTAATAAAAGAGCCAAGTTGTGTACAATTGCAAATTTACTTGTCATAGTCAGCACCTTCAGAAAATTGAAGAGGCCACATGCTTCACCCGTCTAGACTCGGCAAAAACGTGCTTCGTCTGTGAGGTGCGAAACGGCATGAACGCCGCACTCGCCGTTCTGAAGGAATGTACGGCGATCGCTGATCAGCGCGACATGCGCGAGATGCGCGAGATGCTTTGTTCAAGATAGTTCAACATCAACAATGCGCTTGCTGTCGTTTTGCACAGTTGAACCAATTTCTGTTGCTTGGTGATTGAATTTTAGTCTTTTCCCGAAAAAAAATAACGCTTCATGTGGGTGTGCCTGGCAGTTTGAACCTTCAGCTTGCTTGTTGGTGCTCTTGGGGGGCAAGCGTCACTGTTGGTCATTTCCCTTGCACGCTCCACCTCCAAAACAAGTGCCGCTATGATGAATGTCACTGAATGTCTTACAATTCTGCCGCCTGTCCCCAGAACTATGCCTTCCTCCAAGCAATCACCAAGAGAACGTACAATTGACAGCACCGAACTCCCAAACACCATCCGCCCAGGCACTGCTGCTTGGAAAAGTAGAGTTGAAAGCGGAGTGCCCAAACGAAGCCTGGCGAGAAATTAATTGTAGTAGGTATATATATATATGTGTGTGTGTCAGACTAGATCAAAATTGAATCCGAATAAGTGATAACTGCACTCCGACTCACTCATGTGGAATTGCACCAAGCCCCTTTATGTGGCCAATAGTCCTCGAAACATTCATGGCTTTCGCTCCAGGACTCTCCTGGAACCTCCCGGTCTCCAAGCTGCGCATGGAAGTGTTGAGAAGTGGCGAACTGCTGTGGTGTCGTCGTGTCGTGGTGGCGCCCAAAACCCTAAGCCATGTGAATGTGGGCTAGCGGCTAGCTCAGCTAGCTCCCCCAAACCAAAAAATAAAAATTGCACCGTCCCCTTGACATCTCATGACCCCCATCCTCACCTCTCGGACCCCAAAACACCCGTTGTGGCATCGCTGGGTGCCTGGCAGCCACAGCGTCAGCAGCAGGAAGAACTGTTCAACCAGTCCCTCGTGGAGCATCGACCCCACCTGGGCGTTCGACCAGTCCCTGCTCCGGTCGCCGCGACGGTCGCCGCGACGCGGTGGACGCACCATGACGCACCACTCCACTCCACAGATCTGAGTCGTCCCGTCCAAGTCTCTCGGGATGAGGTGTGCACGTGGGATACACAGGGAGAGGCCACCTGTGCTGTCCCTGGGCAGGACAAACACGAACCAGACACCAAGCACAGCATGTCGGACTCAACGGTCAATGGCATCATATACCCAGCACTTCCAATAGGTGCCCAACGGAGACCTATAAGTAGTGCAGGGTTGTCCAGCAGCCTGCTGGTATATATACCCTGGGGGTCAAAGACTAATCAATAAAAGAATAATAGTCCTTAGGTGACCCGAATAGGAACATCCTTTACTTCAGTCAGTCAAAAAATGGTCTTTGGACTTCTATAGGGTATATATATTATATATGTATGATCTATTTTTGACTCAGCCTTCCTGGCCTTCTATACACCCCTCCACTTGGAGGGTCGTCATTGTCCCCTTCTTCTCCCGCCGCGGCGCCAACCACATTGCGCAGACCGTGCGGAGGAGATCCGATGTCCAGAGGAAAACGAAGGCCAAGCTCTCTTGAAGAAATCCTGGTGCTTGAGGCACCCAATAAAGGAACTGGATGGAACTGGTGCATGTGGGTGTGCAGGTGTAAACCTCATAATACATATTATATAGTGTGTTGTTTCTCTTTCTTGGCCCGCTCCTCTCTCCGAATACTAAATTCATATGTATGTTTCCTAGCGCCGCCAAGCAAGGAGTTTGCCGGAGCGCGGCACAACAAGCGTTCCCCTGTTTGGGCTCAAAAATTGACATAGTATGAGGTGACACGAAGCTTGGGGAAAGGCATTTGTCCTTTGCAATGTAATTACTGTGTAAGCCCGTAGGCTGATGGGGCAGCGCCCTTCTTTTCAGAGAATGATTGATTCTTGTTTTCCTCAAAATGGATATGCTCGATTCCTGGCGGCATTTTGGAGCATTCGTATGTCTTGGAGGTTTGGCTCTTGGGGCGGGCTGTGCCCGAGACAATGGAAAGTGTCTTTCACCGTTTCAGTTAGCCAGTCCGCAAGTTTGGGTTTGAAAAATGACCTGTCGGGGAGGATCGGTTGCATCTGCTCGGAGAATGTGGCCTAGACTTATCTTCCTCTGCCTCCAAAAGTCGAGTTTTTGAACATACACTCCATGCGTGTTTGCTGTTTGCAGTACGACTGGGCTTGTTTGCGCTCTATCTATGAAAGTGGTATGTTGAGAATTCTTCTCAGACCCTTCATCTGAAAAGCATCTAGTTTGTTTAGCTCATTTTGAGTGAGTTGGATCACTTCCAGGCTGTACATAAGTTTTGATTGTATGATTGGTATTCGCCTTGTCCCAGAAGATCTTGGGTTGTCTGAAAGTTTTCATGGTCATGGCAATTATGTCGTGTATTTCTGCTGTGTTACTCACCGTATCTGTCAATAACGATCCTAGGTATACTGCACGACTGTCTCGTGGGACCTTAGTTCCATCTAGATATTTAATTGTTGACGTCTTTCTGTTCGTTGTCATGTTAATACACTTTCCGTAGTTGAGTTTCATGTTGTAGTAGGAGGAGTCCACTTCTTTCTTTGAGCAGTCTATTTATTGAAGGCGTGTGGTCGCCAAAAATCAGAGTGTCGTCAGCGGTCAGCGTATTTTTGCAAAAGTGATTCCTTCAGTTTGGGTTCTTTCTCTTTGGGCGTGGACAGCCGGACGCCAAATTCAATATGTATATATACTTTTTGTCCGCTCCCCCTCTCCCTACTTGATTAAGGAACGGCGCCTACTTAAAGGCCAGGAACTGAGGTAAGCTACTAGGTACAGGACGCTCCTAGGTCGGACGCTCGATAGCTCACGATATTGGTTCCTTGATACATCAATGTGCCAGTCTCAGTTCCATGTCGTGATTCGACCACCCGGGGGCCCATCTTGGGCACCACATCTGTTTGTGAGATGACAGCTCAAGCCATGGCCAGCCACAAGAATAGACACACCAGAAAATAAGACATACTCCTTTCTCCTTGCTGAACTACCTGCCACAATTCAGGCTGTGTTTCCACTGCCCCTCCCCCAGAAAGGACTATTCCACCTGTGTCCGGCTTTTTCCAAACGCCCCCTGCGAATCGCTCCACCCGGTCCTGCCACATCCATGCAGTGGCACACTTCATTCTGGCGCACTCCACCACCCAAATACGCGTGGAATTCGCCCGTGGCCCAGTAGTCCAACGTCAGCACGCCTCGTCAGTGGTAGACCCCCGCGATCCGTCAGTCTAGTCAATCCTTCGAGTCGGTGCGTCGACGAGTCTTGGCAAAGCCTCCTTTCCTGTTGCACTTCCAACGGGCCAATGGAGACCTGTAACTAGGCGATTGTGAAGGTGCATGATGACTGAGTAGTGTGGCGCGTTCTGGCGAACGTAGGGGCAGGAGTATTTACAACAAAGTTTCAAAGAACTAACTGTTGATTTGATTTTCTTGGTTCATAAAGGAATGCAATTCGTTGTCATTGCAGTTGTTCTGCCAAGAATAAATCGAGATAGATCTAACTAGATGCTCCACTTAGTGTTTCCTGGCATTGTGCGGAGCAATTCACTCCAGAATTACTTCCACCTTGGTCCAAACCTTTCTATCTTGCTAATCTCTCAAAGGAATATATATATATATATCAAACAGCAAGTTGTGTGGACGAACATCCACAAACACACGGTAAAAGACTAAACAATCTAATTCCAAATTCCAAACTTGTTTTTCCTCCGCCTGTTCCATAGAATGGTCTCAATCAAGGGACACAGAGATACAGTAGATTAAATCAAGCACCAAATTGGTCCACCCCAAGTGGTCTTCGAAACCTGGCACCCTGGAACTGCCCAAAAGCACCAGAGTCACTTCACTCGCTCCCAGCGGACCAAAGCGAGTGAAGCCGCGAACCCGCCCGTCGCGCCCGGTTCACCCGTCTCCGACGTCGGTCGGGTCGTTCGGTCTCCGACGTCGAAGGACTCCGACGCCGAACCGCCCCAAGTCGCCGTAGTACATCTTCAGCGAGCGGAACCTTGGGTTCTGAGGGAAGCCCATCCGATCGACGCCCCGGACGAGCATCTGGATCGATCAGTTGGACCATGGGAACTCATGGGAAACCAATGGGAAACCCCGCCCACACGGGCGGTGGGAAAAACCACCGAAAAGGGATAGACAGGTGGCGGCGATGTGGGCAGTAGACTTTGGGGTATATCCCAGGGCCCAGTGGATGATGATGGGGCCTGGGAAAGCAGGCCGGTCTACCGATGGCTCTACTGGTAATGGGACAGACCCAAGATATCGCGATCTAGTATACCAAAGGGGTCCATCTATAGTCCATGTATTCTTATATTCTATATGGTGTATGCCACTCAACTAGCATAAATAGCCATCCTGCGCAGTCCCCAAACTTCGAAAGAAGAACGAATCTTGAAACCGCCCGTCGGACTGGCGCAAAGGCTTCACCCAAACCCTTGGGACTTGGAGCTGATGTATGTGGATGCCTCGGTGCCAACCGGTAACCAGCACGCCCTTTGGTCGGCAAGCCGTCGGCACCGTACGGATGCACGGTGAAGGTGATGCCCATTGGACCACTGGAGGGGGTGTAAATCATGAGCATCTCATCTCCAGAAATATACCAGAGCCCCCGGTTTGGGGTGGGTAATGGACACCCATGAAACTCTGAGGAGCCACATTCTTGGACACCCCTGAAAAGGGGGGCCAGGGTATATGACCATTCAAATTGTATACTTTTAGTTTCAGGGCGTACATTCGATCCATTATACAAAGAGTGTCTGGGGTGTTCAGACACACTCAGCACACGCACCATAGGCGACCATAGGACCTGTGACCGCCGCGAACGCCTGCAACACGTGCATGATGTTTTAAGAAATTTTAAGACCTTCCCAGGGCTGCCATTGACTCAACTCAAAAGGTCACTGACTCTGACTCAGAGAAAAAAGATGCTGACATGTCCTGTCACTGGCCCAAATCCGAACAACAGTTCAATGGAAAAATTGTCCAAAGAATCTCAAAGGAATGTGGCTCTAGAACCCAAAAAATCTATGGGAAAATAACTCAACCTTCTGCCAAAATTTAAACTCTAGCAGCAAAAAAACCCACGTTGAAATCTCTCAAACTTGTTGCCTTGTCCAACCCCAAGCGAGCAAGCTTCGCATCCGGACGTAGCGACGAGTGCGACGATCCGACTGATCCCAAAGTGCCAAACAATACGACTGATGCACCGGACCTCTGAAATCATATTCATACATATACTGCGCAATTTTAAATGTACGTATGTACTGTAAATGTATTAAATGTGTATATATAATCTATGTCTGTATATGTGTGTGTGGTCATCTTGCTGGTGGAACTCTCTCATTCCCATTCCTGCCCAATCTCTTTGCTTTATTCAGGGCGCCCAGTGTCCAGGCCGCCGTAGAAACCCTCATCCAGCTCCAGCACCAGGTCACATCCAGGCCCGCTGTCATCCACGGGTGCAGTGTTCAGCACCATTTCTTCCATGTCGGCACTGGAACTGTGAACTTTGCCAAAGATCCGCGGCGAACTCCTTAGCCGACGAGGCCGTTGAACATGACTGTGGGTCATGGCACCCGGAGCCCGAGCCTAACTCACCAGCCGGGTTGACCTCCTGGTGGGTCCTCTACTCTGTGCATGTTCTGTAGTCCAATAAAGGGTCCTCCGACGCCATGACCCACAGCCAGATCAGCGGAGATGCTCGGAGCCTCTTGCGGCACGCCGGAAGGGGGTCCGGACCCGCGGCAGAACGAGAACATGCTGGGCCTTGGTCCATGTGTTCCATGGCCCATGTGGTCATGCTCCATTCCGGAATCATCCATCATGCGTGTCTGGATGCAATGTCCAAGTGTTGTACTACCGTAATGGCTCGCGATCGCCCTCTCTAAAAATGACGGACCCGTCGCTTTTGGATCGCATCGTTCCTCCCTGCATCCCTCCATCTGTCGTGTCTCTTCATGCTGGTTTCGAACAAAGACTTTCTCCCTCAGCCTATCCCAAGCGTCAGGGTGACCCGGTGGTGCAACTTCACCTCCTCCGCCAGGCTCTCCAAGAGCCTGGAAGTCACTAATGTGGCTCAATCAGCGAGGGAGAAGGACAACACGAAAACTCCATTTAAAAAAACAATCCGTGCCGTGCTTGGTTCATTTCTCGGATCACCTTGATGAAAGACATTAAAAGACCTCCCCTTTTTTGTAAAAAAGGATCCGAAAAGCGGAAGACCTCCCGCGACTGGACGAGCCTTGCAGGTCTGATCCGCACGGCCACCGTTCTCTGCCAGTGCCGCACCTCGCAAGGGCGTGCGGAGAAGCCGTTGCTCGGTGCGCTGACCGCGCTCCGGCGGGTGGACGTGGATGTGGGAGGAGGCGCTAGGCAGCGGATGTGAGAATCGCCAAGTATCAGCTATAGTTAAGCTTGGAGCCAGGTTCACTCAATTAGAGCGCAAGTTCTCCTTGTGTGACCTCTTCGCCTTTCGCTCTGGGTCCCGCGGGTCGGCGCCCACCTCCAGGACCTCCGGGTTGCTCAAGGTCAAATCCCGCTCCAAGTCCAGTGAGGGCCCAGGCACAACGACCACCTGCGCGAGCTGGGTGTGGTGAAAAACCACACCCTCCCGCGCTTTTTTTGTTTTGAAAACGGAGGAGCGAGGAACTGTGCACGGGAGTTCCAGTCGCATCAGGAGTTTCAAAAGGGGTGTCTTGACTCGCACTGCATGCACTTGATGGACGCTGGCCAGCGGCACTGCCACCGGCTAGTAGCAGTCCAAGGCCCAAGGCAATCACCACTACCATCTCATGTTGTCGGGGGCGGTGGTCAGAAATTGGTAGGGCACGAGTGCCTGGTGTCAAAACTCAATCTCTTGCTGAGATGTTTTCCCGTGTCAATTTGGATGCCCAGAACCCTTTACCAAAAGCCCAGCCTTAGTTGCTTCCAAAGCAGCTTTGGCTGTTTAAGGTTGGAGATGTGATAATAAATTCTCCTCCTGTGTCAGATTCCTTATGGTTCCTTCCTCAAGGATTGGGACAAAAACACTAACCGGAACAAGAGACTTGAGTGTTGAAAAGCTCAATGATCGACCAGATGTGGACTTATATATATATATATATACATGTATATATAATATATATATATATATATATTCTTTGCATGTATGTATGCATGTATGTACGTGTGTGTATGTACATTTGCATACACATAATTATACCATATGCACACTTCTTTGAGCATGAGAGTCTCACCTGAACCCCCAAAACTGATTGACTGACAGAAGTGTCCTTTAGCAGGCCGCCAATTTTTGGTCCAAAGATGTTTCGGAGCAGCTACTGCTGGCCAATGCCTCCCGCCATAGGCTCTTAGATGAACGTCCCGGATGAAGAGGTTTTGCACACCATTGGGGAAGGTTAATGATCAAGAGACTACGTTGGGGTGGTGGGTGGTGCGTTCATGATTGAAAAAGGGTTCCCCAAGGGCTCATCTTCCACCGTCCAATCACCGATCTGGGCTCATCAAAATCAGCGCCCACCGTCAAGTAATCCATGCTCAGCCGCTCAGCCGAAAAGACAGGGATCACCAAAACGTTGGATCCAAGGAGGATGCCCTTTCAGGAGGGCCAGCCTAAGGTGGCCGCATGTTCTTCTTCTCTTCTCCCGCCTCCTCGGAAAACCTCCATCAAGATCCGTGGAGTGTCCCTGCCTGCAGTTCCAAGTCTGAGCCTGAAGTCCAAATGGACTTCAGCGCATGGTGTGGCTGAAGGCGCCTGCGGCCATCCAACAACTGCAGCCGGCATGGCTTCAGGTCCATCCTGGATGAAGTGAGATGAGGAAGAGCGGATGGTGAGGATGGGTGGTGGAGCTGGATGAAGGGCGGCGGTCAGCTTCACAAGTGGTCTTTCGTTGTGCTTTACTGGGGCTCCAGGGGTGGTGGGTTTTCTGTCTTCATCCTCCATGTCCGAATGGAGGCAACACAGGAGTGTGCAGTAGTAGTCCATTGTGGTTCGCAGACTTGGCATGCTTGGGGGACCGGGTCACGGCAGCCTTCAAGAAGCAGGCCCACGCTGCACAAAATGTCAACAAAAGTCATCCAACATCGCTTCTGAAAAGAAGGGAATTGGAATTGGCCCCCTGAACAAAAAAACGACCATTGACAGAGTTTTCCCCTAACAAAGAAGGACACAAGCAAAACAAATTATGTAACTGTACCACGTGCCAACCAAAGGCTGCTTACCAGTCCTTCCCAAGACTTTCCGTGCAACTGACTTCTAAAATTCAGGAGGCATCTGTCGTGCGCATGGCACTCCTTTAAAGGTTTCTACCCCACAACTTCGCCTCAACCCATCCGTCAGAACGCCCGAGCATCTTCTGGCAAAGCATGTGAATGACCTCGGCGATTTGGCTGGAGGGCCGCATCTCCTGGACAAAATCGGTGACGATGAGAAGGGGAAAAAAAAGACGTTATATAAAGATATCAAATCCGTGCCAAACGACAAAAGGTTTGGCCGGGAATCACCAACCTCCGGCTTTCCTGCGGCTCTTCTCGCAGGAAAGCCGGGAGAAAAAACCTTCCAGACCGTGTGAGCGGTGTAAAGCACAAGACTGTTCTTCGCCCTCGGAGGGGTCGATTTCGCGCCAGAAAAACCTGCCCTCCCTGGCGCGTTCAGGGCTGGACATGTTCAGGGCGCGTACGTGGCAGCATGGCGTGAAAGAAGCGACGAACGTAGACAGTTTTGATTCTACACCGTTTTCAGATTTATGGTGCGACCGCTTCGGGTTCATGGTGCTGAGGTGCATCCTGGGTTTACACGCTTGTCCGAAAGAGGAAAAAAGGAGCGAAAGCAGCTTGTGCACCATCTGCTCTGCACACTGTTTTGCATCTGCAGCCAAGTTCGGTTGCAGCACAGAACCGCCATCAACCGCCCCACACCCTGGAAGTCCAAAGACATCCAAAGACTACTATATTTTAACTGATTGAAGTAAAAGGAAATTCCCTTTGACTCCAAGGCCATATGAAGGGGTTTTACCATCTCAATGGGGATGAACCGATCAATCAATCAAGAATCTACATTTATATAGCAGTATTTGTGCTAGTTACCCACCGCCATCGCTTTGATCCGCCAGTTCGAGCACCCGGCGGATTCGTCGCGGCTTACCCCTCACCCACTGCAGTACTGTCCATGGCGAGGTAACCGGGAGATGAGATCCCCAGCCAATGGCTTTTGGTATTTATTTTGGTCTATTCATCTTCTTCCACGCGGGTCAATCTGGGAGGTCCCCCTATTTAAATACACATCCTTTGTGTTAATTGATTGATGACCCTTCTTGGTGCTGGCAGCAACAACTGCATACTAGATTTGGCTAGATCGGCAACCAAACTGATTCGTACAACCACGGTGAAACAACCTCCAGTCGGACCCTCACTCGGGACGTATAGGGCCATCCTGCACACAGCTTTAAACTTGACCTTGCGGCCATGGTACAAAAATATATACAAATATTCATGATTACTCATGGATTTAAATATACTTAAATGGTGGAAGCCAGAGGAAGCCCGTCTTCTTTGGCTTTGGGGAGTCGTCTGCCAACATGCTCTGCGGGCACTCCGGAGAAAAACACATAAAAAGCCCGTGCACGTCCTGGTAAGTCTTCTCCTGGGAGCTCAGGGGTGCTCCCTGGTGGAAGGGGTGCTTGCTCAGGTTTGGTTCTTAGAGCCTTCAGAGTTGCTGAAGGCTCAAGGAGTTGCAAAAGCCAATGACTCTCCAACAGAATTGACTTCGCAAGCACTCCTTTTGCGATTGCTTTCGCTAACACTGCAACATGTGAGCAACCTAAGTGTCAACCAAAATTGGCAGCGGCCAAGCGAGAAGGACATGTTTTATCACCATTGAAGTCTAGAGTCGAGCCTCTCTATATCTCATACCTCGGGGCACTTCGTTCTTCCAACCTCCTTTGGGCTCCTCCACTTCCACCCCGCGCTGGGCTCCTCCGCAAACCCGCGCGGGTTTCACGTGGGTTTCACGTGGGCTTCATCTGCGCGACCGTACCGACCCGCTCAATGCCCGCCCAGGGGCCAGGACGCAGTCGCCGGCCAAGGTGAAGACGCGCAAGACGCGCGGCGCGGGTGAACCGACGCTCGTGCCCGAAGCGCCCAGGGTGGCACCGATCCGCTCGGGCTCGTGACCTGGCGGTCTCTCAGCTCTCTCTCTCTCTCTCTCTCTCTCTTGTCGGCATCAGCATGACTGTCATGACTCGTGCCGTCTCACATCAACTTCCCCGACCAAGGCCCTAAAGTTCCCTAAAGGTGTCCGGCACAAGTCTGGCGGTGGGAATTCTGGGAACACACTTCGGGAGGCTCTTCTCACAGGCCATATTTCATCAGACCTCCAGTTTTGTGGCACAAATCTCTTGACCCGTTTCCTTTTGAACGCCAGGCCACCACGAAGTCCAGCTGATTGGCCCCCAGAATTGGTGGTCAACATCCCGTCAAGTCAGGGCGGCCGCGAGCCGGGCTTCTCTCAATCTAAGCAAATTCATGCCCAAAATCCCGATCAACTGGGGAACAGCGTTCCGAATTGGGGAACCTTTCGTTGCCTTCGGGGACCGTAGTACACCTGTGTCACTTTCGTGACTTTCGTGTCACGAAAGAAATCGTGCCATTCAGCAGCGCCATCAATGCAGTCAGGCGACAGCTCGGGGGAAGAGGCGCGCGATGTCCCAACAGCATGGCGAGTCGCGACTCGCTGCGCGGCACGATCGCTGCAGCTTAGACGGACCCTTGAGTCGTCCCCGGATAAAGGTTAAAGGCTATCCACCGACTGGGTGCGTATAGGAGTAGGACACCACTCCCGCACTATGATCATGATGCTGTCACGCTGTGCTTCGAGAAAACCAACATTAGCTTCATGGAAGAAGTGGTGCGAACCTGAAAAGACACAATACATCACAATACTAACATGATCTCACCAAATGGCACCAGGACCTTCAAAGTGACCTAACTTGAGATCCCAGTTTGAGGCCATTTGATCACCCATCATCCTTCATCTCTTTCACCAGCCGGACCGGCCACATACCTAGATCTTCCTCAAACGGAAATGTCTGTCCGAGTTTGATTCGGACAGATTTCATGAGGTGTTCGTCCGAGCTCTGAAGATTCGCCCGTGCTCTGAAAATCCGCCCAATGGCAGCATGGAGGAATTTCTACCATCCTGACTGAGTTCACCATGTTCGCAAAACTCGTCCGAAGTGTGGGGGTTTTCGTCCGAATTGTGGATAGTTTCGTCCGAATTGAATTTCCTGTTTTTAATTTTGCATGCAAAGTACAAATAAAACTACAAAAGTGCAACTTCGTCCGAGTTCCAAAGATTCGTCCGAATTCCAAAGATTCGCCCGCACTAGGTGTCAACAAGTCAGACTGAAATATCAGTACGAATGAAGACGTAGGTATGGCCACATCCCTTTCCCTTCAGCTTAGCGCACTTTCCTCGGCTTTTTCCTCACAGGCCCTGCTCGGCGACCTCCTTCAGCCGCTCGGGTACCTCGTCCATCGGCGTCTCGGCCACCGCCTGGAGACGACCCAGGAATCGGGCGCCTCGCTGCAAGCTCCGCCTGCAGGTCCCCCGGCGTCCATCGACGGCGGCGGTGTGGGGAGGAGGGACTTGACGAGGGCACCCGATGCCACGGAGGAACAACCGCGGACCGAGAACAGGGTGGTTGACAGGCGTGTAAGCTTTTCAAGCTCAAATATCAGCTACCGAAACGTGTGTTGTAAAGGCTCTTGAAAGTAGCAGCGGGCCTTGAAACACTGAAACATCCTAAAACCACCGCCAAGGCCCCTTGATGCGCGTTGGTTGCTTTTGTTCTCCTTCCTCAGCCTGTGATCAAAGTGGTGCAAGTCTTGGTCGACCTCTCGTACACCATGTTTCGGGACCCCCCATGGTTCTTCAGCCGTTCTCCGGACCCCCCATCCATCATTCTTGCAGTGTCACCGCTGTCTGACCGAACCAGCTGGACTGGACCGTCGGCCCGAGGACGAGCGGGCGAGGGCCACGACCGGGCCGTTCGGGTTGCTGCCCACGTCGACCGATGGAACAGCCAGGCTGCCTGGAAGGGCCATGCCCAGGCCCTCCCAGACGCCCTTTTGTTCCAAAAACACCTCCCTGAGGCATCCTGATGCGCCCATGGAGCTCCCCATGTCTCCCCATGTCTGTGCCTCCTCGGGCTTTCCTGCACCCTCCCCACCGCTCCAAAACCACGTCGTCCGTGCTCCCCGAGGGACTGGAGCTTCTTGAGCGTCGTCCGGAGCTTCTCCAACTTCCCTCGCAGCTGGGCGCCCCGCTGTTGGCTCGTCGAGAGCCTGGGACGGGAGCGGAGCAGAGTGGGCGAACAACGCAAACAAAGGATTGAAGAGACGGCTTGGGTGTGTTCTTCCCCATGTCGTTCACGAGACGCATGCCGATGTCATCCATGCAAGACATGTACCGAAATGGCGACTTCAGAAATCCTGCCAGAGGCGCAGGAATGTGACAATGGATCCTGAGGCCCCAGGTGGGGAGGCTTCCTCCATTCTAAACACCCAGAAGGCAGAAAACTCACCAAGTGACTCCTTCTGAAGTACAGATTGTTGTTGTAGAAGAGCTGCATGGCGCTCCTGGCCAGCCTTCATGCTTTTCTGGAACCTTGGCACCAAGGGCCGGACTTGTGGGATATACGGTCAATGGACGGTCGTATTGCTGGAAAGCAAGGTCGATGGATTAGAATCCGGTTGGACCCCTGGTGGTGGTTCTTATCCAACGGGTTCAGCCGGGAGTCTTGATAGAGTTGTAGAGGAAAATCATGGAAATGGAAACAATGGCTGATTCCCTGCATTCGGTGATGCCCAAAGATGTGGCCACCCGGACCCTCTGGCCACCCTGAGGCTTCAGACTCGGCACCAAGTTCAGAACGGGTGGTGAAACTGAAGGTACGCCCTGTTTCACCGTGTTTCACCCTCACCGCACCGTGGTCCAACCAAACAGCCGGGGACCCCCGGATCGCCGTGGAGACGCTTCACCGATACGAACCCAGAAACCATCCATGGTTCCGTGGAGGGGGACATGGCCTGCAATTCGGACCCCGGACTCCTCTAAACCCAATTGGTGGTTGTCCCTCCACTTCCATCCGTTTTTCAACGTGCCAAGGCTCATCTGCTTCAAATAACGCTTGCTGCTGCTCTCCACCCGGTGTAGCTGCCGCCTCCGGTCGGACGGGGCAAAGGCCGGCCCCCGGCGGCGCTCGAACTCAGTGCCTCGTGGATGGTGCAAATCCTTTTGTGGCACCAGAACACATCCAATCAGCCATGAACTATACTGAGGGATGGTTCATGGACACACATGAACCTCTACCAGCACCCTCCAACAGGTCACCAATTGAGACCTCTTAGCGCCTTACAACCCTCCAAAGGAGACCTGTTGGAGGGTGCTGGTAAGGGGCTCATTGTTAGACAATGTTAGACATGATTTGGGGCCTGGTATGAAAATGATTGAAAATGTATCTAGGATATTCTAGAATCCTGAACTCACTCGACTTGGACATAGATCCGACCTGGTAGGACCCAGGTCGGAAGCCACCCACTCCGGTCGGGGCTGCGGCTGGGCGTCCCCACAGGTCATCCTTCAGGAAGGTCAAGATGATCCTCAGACCGGCACCGAACCGCCATGGAACCGAAGAAGACCATGTGACCGTTCCATGGTTGAGGTGGTGTTGTAGTGTAGAACCCTAGTACAACAATGGGTTGTTCGGGATTCAGGCGATGTGAGAGGGCATGCTTCGACTTCTAGGGCATGTGGCAGCGATGTGTGCCATGGCTGCCGTTGACCACGTGCCATGAGATGACATGGAGACATGATGAGACATGGAGGGGTTTCTCAAAAGAGCTCCACACATGCGCCTGGCGCCCATGCCTTGGTGGTGTGGTGTGCTTCTGCCCTTCGCAATGCTGGCTGGAGCTTCAAGGACGACTTAGACACATCCTCCGAGGGAGGAAGCAGCTCATGACCAAACACCCCATGCAGTGGGTCCAACAATTTACTAAAACCATGGCTGGTCTGGGTGTTTCTCCCGGTGAGCGCAGGAAATTACCACCAGCACCCCTTCAAAATCCCTTGTTGAAACCGAGCCGAATCCCAACTGCAATGCCAAGCGTCTGATCCTCATGCGCTTCGTGTTCCACCACCGGATCCTCGGCCTCGAGCACCTCGGTCACATCCGCTTCATTCACCTCGCGCGGCGCCACTGGATCCTCGTCCAACATGGCATCCACCTTCGGATGCGCACCTGCCATCTCCGCGCGCGCCCGCGCGCGCGTGGATGTAGGCGCAGATGTGGGCGCATGGGAGCCCATACTCTTGGGGAGGCCGCATGGGAGGCCATACACTGGGACGCAGGGCCTGGGCTTTTGGAGTTGCTGGAGTGGCCACAAACCAAGATTGCTGAAGGGGGCATATAGTAATTCGCGGGATGTTGGCAATGCCCTCCTCTACCGGCTCTGCCCGACCTTTCAAGCAGGAATTCTAGTGGTTGAACCCAAGTGCAGTACCTTAATAATTACCAATGATCATGATCGGAAGATTCATCCGACAGTTGGCCAAAAAGATTTAGCTCCCCTCAAAGGGTCTCAAAGAACCTCTCATTTACCACGGGATGCTTCTGCTTTGCGACCCCTCTTCCATTTCTTCACCTCGTACCCCCTCCCACCAACCCCACGCTTCACACGACCTACCCGCCCCACGATCCGCCCCACCTCGCAGTTCTGCCGACACCTCCAGGAAGGACATCGCATCACGTTCGTCCTCCAGCGTGGCCTCGCACGGTTGGTGCGTCACCGTCGCGGTGCGCGGAATTGGCTTCGGAACACGGCGGACGGGGTGGTTTTTCGGTGGTGTTAGTGTGCCACTCGCAGCCTCCGCATCCAGAAAAGGAAGCGGTTGGAGGAACCAGGTCCTTCTGGTGCACTGAACCCCCAAAAAAAAAGACCTATAGCTGCTAGCAATTAGTATACATTGAATACATGCGCCGTGTATACTGCTGTGTATGAAATACCAATCCAACTCAATCTTCCAGAGAGAAGCTCGGAGTTCGGGGAGGATCTTCCTTTTGCAACTTAGCCACCTCCTCCGGGTCCTGCAGGAAGCGTTGTCCCTGGTGCATTTGCTGCTGCAAGGATTTGGAAATGCTCTGGCGTACACTGACTCGATGGGCCAAACGTGTCACCTGAACCCGTCGCGGGACGAAAAACCGAGGACCGGTCCTGACTTTGAAGGGCCAAGCTAAACAAAGCCCAGATCCGTTTCACGGAGTGTTTTCCCCCAGTCCCACGGTATGGTCTGAACAGTTCGCACCCACCCCGGTCGAGTACGGAGTTGTGGATCGAAGAACCGGAGCGGAAACGCGGTGTGGAAACCGGCGTGGAAAACGCCAGGAGTACTCCCACAGCCCGAGAGGTGCGCTCTGGAAAGACACTGAAAGATTCCGTTTTCCTCATGTCTCCTCTACATCCTCTATACACATGAGCGTTTTTTTAATGCGGTGTTCAAAGGATATCAAGGGTTTTCAGGGTCCATGTTAGTCTTCAGTGGGGCAGTTGACGGCCAGGAGCTGCACGGGGGCATCTGCACGGAATGTCACATCCCATTCGCTTGGTGGCACTTTGTGGCACTTCGATCTGGGCCAGTCGGGGCCCACCATTCC